GGTGAGGGGAGGCCGGCGGGCGGGGGGGAGGCCGCGGGGCGGGGCGAGGGCTCCCGCCGGGAAGCGGCCGCGCCGGCCCCACGTGTACCGCGGCGCTCACCGCCTTGCTCCCCTGGCAGGAACAAGAGGAGGATCATGCGCATCTTCACCCTGCCCCCAGCCGCCGAGACGCCGCCCGAGCCCAACTTCTACGACAGCATGAAGAAGATCCGCCTGCGGCAGCAGCTGGAGATGTACTCCATCGGTGAGTCAAAGGAGAGAGGGGGCTCCACCCCCAACACCCCCGGCCTGCGGGTTACCGGGGTCGGTTTCTGCAGGGGCGGCTTCGAGCCCGCCTGTCCTCGTGCGGTGGGGACAGCAGGGTGGAAGCCCAGTCCTGTGGCACCCCACGCAGGCAGGGGTTCTGCAGGAGTGCAGGTCACAGTATGGAGGCCTGAGGAGATACGGAGTAGGGGAGTGGCCATGCAGTTCTCTTCTAGCTGTCCAAACTAATCCAATATTGAAGTTAAAAAGAGCTGGGAATGGCTGAATATTGTCAAAACGTGGATGGAATTATGAAAGTTGAGAGTACTGCGGAATCACAGGTAATGCAGCTAAATAAACAAGAATTTTACTGTACCAGCAAGTGTTGCTACTCCCATCTTAACGTTGAAGGTCAGGATGGAGGTAGGAAGGAGCCCCACGGCTGATATTTCAGAGGTCCAATTCAGAGAAACACCTGTACTCTCTTCACATCTGCCACCCGTGCATGCCTAGAGGGCATATAGGCACGAAATACTTAATGAGTTGAAACCACCTTTTAAATGTAAACATTTCATGTGAAGATTCTTAAACCAGGCCATTGCATTCTTTAAGAACTAAAAAAGGGTGTGCTGCTTACAGAGGAATGCCTGCTGGCGTTCATTGTTTGTTTTTTTTTCCACACGCACAAGTCTTTGATCCTCTTTGCCTTGCTAACCAGATTAATTTTGAAGTCAATGTAGTTGTTCGCTTGTGGCTTGTATGTTGTGGAGGAGATGAGTGATGTGGAGTTCAACTGTGTGACTAATGAGCTGTTCAGGTCATCTGTAATAATTACTTATGAAACAATAGTCTTTAATTTTTTTTTTTCTTAAATGAAAGGTCCTGAATGGAATCATAGTTCTCTGCCATTAATTTACTGACATTTTGCTGTGATCCTGCTGTTCAGCCTTTTCAAGGCCATATGCTAAAGGACTAGTTCCACACAGTGACCGAAACGTCCCCTTGGGTGGCTAAGTGGTGAAATTACATTCTCTAATCTCAAGTCTGTTTCTTGATTGTTATCATATTTATATATATATATATAGATATGTGTGTATATATATAGATATGTATACATGCACACACGTGTATATATACATGTATGTAATAAATGGTACAGTTGTTGTTGATCAGTGTTTCTTTTTTTCAGCAAGGAAGTACGAACAGCAACAGCAGCAGCCACCAAAACAGACTGAAAGCGTACAGCTCTCAGTGGAATGACGCCCACAATTGTAGGAACTCAGGATATATTTCCAGTGCTGATAATAAGAGTTAGTGTGGAGCCAATTTCAATGCCTTGTAACTGATACATAGCTGAAGGCAAGGGGGAAAGGAAGGGGACTCTCCTAAGAACTTTGTAGCTTTTCTCTGAGCCCTGTAAAGTAAACTGAGTGCCTACTGAAACAAGCAGCATGAGAGTACCCAACACAGGGAAGACCAGCTCAGAGAAAGCTCTGAGGGTAGAGAAGTGCAGTCTTACCAATGGTTTAAATTACTCCTCTCTCTGCTGGCACCTTGGAAATGAGCTCCTACCTTGTCTGGTAACGGCACCCTAGAGGAAGCAAGGCAGTACATATCTGCCTGGAAACCCTTGTTCCTTGATCACGCACTGTTGGATTTACTGAATGTGTTCAGTAAATGTGAATGAAGATATTGTGGCCTTACTGCCTAGCGAAGGTGAACAGCTTTGAGAGCCTGGAGTGTTGCTGGCCGTAGTGCAGACAGATTCTGCTCGCTCTGTCTGTGTGGGAGTAGTGTATGCAATACTTCAAACCTTTCCTGGAGAAGCTCTTGAGAACTGAGAAGTACACAATGAATTGCATGTCTGGAAGACACAAAGCCAGTACTATAATGTTAATAGCAAAGGTGGTTAGCCTAATTTTGTCAAACTACTTTAAAGAATGGGATAAAAATTTGCATAACAGAAACTTTAAAGAATGGGATAAACATTTGCATAACAGAAAGATCATGGCTTATCCAGAAGAGCCATCACACCCCAGTTACTTCTGTCTTTCTAGGTAAATCACAGAATAATGCAGAAATTACTTAATAAAAGCATTTAATGATCAAAACCCCTTGATGATGTATCATGCTGTAATTCCAAACGTTATGTGACTTGGGTAGGCTGAGTGGAACAGCACACTAACAAACAGCGCAGACAGCTGGGAGTGGGTGCCCAGAAAGGGGTTTTTTTTTCCACTTCTGTGCAAAAACGTATTGAGTCGGTGGTAAACAGCACTGCAGTTCCATTCAGACACGAGGAAACTTGGCTTCGTTCACGAAATTTTGTTTATTAGATTATAATTATCTGTACTCTAAGTCTGTAGGGATGGTAAAACGTGATGTGGGCCGTGCTGACCGTGGCAGGAGGCGGCTCAGCGTAAGAAGGGCTCGTTTGGGTGAAGAATTGCCGTCTCGCCACCCGCGCCGACGGCCCCTTTCGGCAGCTTCCCGGCGCGCCGCCGAGGAAAACCGAAGCGTAATTCGGCGGGGCCGAGGGCTGGCGGGAAACAGCTCCATCCCCACGCAGCGACGGGGCGGAGGACGCCGACACCCCCGGGCCTGCCGGCGGCTCGCCCGCGCTGCCTCTCCCTTTCTACGTTACTTCGGCCGTAGGAAGACCCGGACCGCAGCACCTCCTCCCCGGTACTTAGGCGGGACAGGGGCCCTGTCTCT